CCTGTCTGTACAGCTTACCCTATTAACTAGTCCCTGTCACAGTGTGAGTAGACAAGAAAGATGAGGAGGAGAGATGTGAAGTTGTGGTGGAGGATTTCTCAACAAGGTGACAGAGGCAAAACAGGGGGCCACGAGGAATCACTAGGCCTGGCATCCTTTTGCTGCTAGAGCAGCATGTGGGCCTGATTTTCGGCTTCAAATGGAATGTCTAGTGAGCCAGCACGGCCATCATCTGGGAGGTAGGAAAGGTGGCCATGTTGAAAACTGGAATGATAGCATCCTGTGTTCCATTGCACAAGACTGTAACAGTAGAGTTAGCAAGTGGCAAACACAGTGGCAAGGATCAAAGCCTACACTTTAGGAATCAAACTTCAATACTTCTAGAGAAAAAAGAAAAGCAAAATACACTCATCAGGTACTTTATTTCACCTTAACAATTTATAAAATCAATTTACAAAACCATTTATAAAAATAAAATGAATTGTTAGAGAGAACTTTATAGAGACCCAAATGGTTGAACTTAATTCATAAAACCAAAATAGTTCAACTTCCCAGGCGTCAAACAGGCCCTGGGCACACGTGATCTTTCTACCGTATTCGTACTATGCTGACTGCATCTCCACATCTTCCATCATTACCATTTCCAACAGCCAAACTCAAGGGTGCACATAAGAACTGGAATTTGTTTGACTCAATGAGAAGCTGTCAATAACATTTCAATTTGATCAGATTCTACCTGATCTTTTCTGACTTTCCTTTATCTATGCAATGATCATCATCAAATCTGGCCCTACCTCGTATCAGCCTGAACAGAGATGGATAAAGTCAGAATTAAAGTCACTGGTAAGAGAGGAGAGGAGATACATCTCCCAACACACAACAGTTTCAAGAAATTCTCAGGTATCAGAGAAACACCAATAGAATTCAGGAGTTTCATATTCCATCTCATTTTTCCCATCCCCTTTATCTCACCAGTCCAACTCTTAGTGCAAAAGGGACTCTAGGGCAGCTATCCCAAGGAGGTAAATGGTCACTTTCTGCTTCTCTGAAGTGGTGCTGGTCTGCAGAGTAGAAATATGAAAAATGTTCTCAGATTTACTCCCATACTACTATCCAGTTCTTCCATGTTATGCTTGTGTTAATTGGAGAATTTTTGTTTAAAATATTTTATTAATGATCTTTCAACCTTATCCATATTCTTTGTCCCTCTTAACGAGGAAGGTGCAAAAGAGCCCACCCATAACCAAGAGGATGCTCACATAACCTGAGAAAAGGAGAGTGGGCCAAACCAAGCCTGAGCTTGGAAGCTGATTCTAGCTTGCATTCTAGTTGGAAATAGAGGCTTTCTAGTCATGCTGGTTGGAAACAATTATGCAATTTGCCTTTCAATTATGATTCAAAGTGCTACAGAAAACAAACATGGTGGGAGCCCACAAAGAGGACCTTGTCCTTTCTGTGAGATTCCCAGGGGAGGTACATTTACTGGAGATCTGTTTGATAAGTAGGTGTTCACTGGGGAATGTGCAGGGCTGTGGATTGAGGGTGGAGGAAGTAGTGAGCATTTGGGCAGAAGATACCGCACTTGAGAAGTAGCAGAGCATGTGGAAGGAACGGAAAGGTGCCCAGGAGACTGGAGTACAGAAAGTGAAGGAGAGAGATGCAGTGGGAGGGAAGTGAGGCCACATCATGTGGGCCTTGTGGGGCATGGGAACAGTTTGCATTTTATCCTATAAGCCATGGGAAGCCATTAGCAGGGGTGCACTGGTTTTAAGTACTGAAGCAACCATAGAGATGTCTATTTTTAAGGCTACTCTGTGTGTGGCCGTGTTGCCCTGGTGCTGCAGGCTACAGAGCAATGCAGGCTTTTGCCCAAGCTACTCCGCCAGGCAACACAGACTCTGGCCCTGAGGGGAATGGGGTGGTCTGAGAGAGTTGACATGTCCCTGTGCTCAGAGCACTCCTTTGGGTGGCCCATGTGCTGGTTTTGGCACAAGGATTTGGCCCACTCACAGACAGCCTATCCAACTTCACTGCTTGGAATTCTCATCCCTGACTCCAAGCTTAGCCTATCTAGATCATACTTTAAAAAGCTGTCCTGCCATCCTGTGGTGAGCTGCACCCTGCTCCCCAGGGGCAAGCTGCTGGTGCATGGGCTTGAAGCATTGAGAAGACTTCCTGCCCATTCCTGCTGAACATAGCCAGATGCCCAGCCAATGAGACCAGGTTGGAGGTACTTAATTCCTGTTTACCTGAACAGAGTGACATTTTTTCCAGAAGCTCAGGTGCCCAACTTATAGTGTGTCAATGTGAAATCTGGATCATAAACCAGCCCCTCTTTATCAATATTTAATAAGTCTTGTATTTTAGCATGGTGTTTTGGGTTCCTTAGGGTCTGGCACATTGCAGGATGTAGAATAGATATTCAATTAATACTTAATACATTAAATTAAACAGCAACCGTAATGATGGGTTGTTCTGAGTGTTGGGCCACCTGGAACCGCATTCCCCGGCCAGTGTCATAGCTGACACACATGTAGCCAGGCATACTGCTACCGACTCCCCCAAAACCCTTGGCCACTGTCAGAACACCAGCCTCCTATCTCACTCAGTTCATAAAGTGCTGGCCCATTGGCATGTCTGGAAGCCACTATGCAAAGGCATTTAGTATATGCATCGGGGAGGGGTAGGAAAGATGTAATCAAGGTAAGAGGCACAGACAACAAGAAAGGGAAAGGAGAGTACTAATAGCATGCAGCATCTACTGAGCAGCTACTCGCTACCAGATGCTTAACACACGTGATCGCTCAGACAGTGGAGCTCGGGCAGGTTAAGGGACTCGTCAAATCCTGACAGTCAGGAGAAGGCAGGTCCGGGATTCACAGATAACATCTATGCTGGCCGGGCGCGGTGGCTCACGCCTGTAATCCCAGCACTTTGGGAGGCCAAGACCGGCGGATCACGAGGTCAGGAGATCGAGACCATCCTGGCTAACACGGTGAAACCCCGTCTCTACTAAGAAATACAAAAAACTAGCCGGGCAAGGTGGCGGGCGCCTATAGTCCCAGCTACTCGGGAGGCTGAGGCAGGAGAATGGCGTGAACCCGGGAGGCGGAGCTTGCAGTGAGCTGAGATCCGGCCACTGCACTCCAGCCTGGGTGACAGAGCGAGACTCCGTCTCAAAAAAAAAAAAAAAAAAACACATCTATGCTGTGCTTAGCTCATAGCACCGTGTGGACAAAAGCCCTCTGCTCAGCACCAAACCTCTTCATACCCAGGGGCCTTGCCACGTATGCTGCCCTCTCAACATCTGTCTCTTCCCAAACATCCTGTTCCCCCTCTCACTCCCCTCCCTACCCCTGCCCCAGGAGAACAGATGCATTCCAGATCTTGGTCCCCAGATCCTCACCCCTCCCTCCAGTTTCCAGACATTTCCTGCTGTAAGTAATTTACTGCTTCTGGGATGATGGGAAATCAGTCCTGGGCAGTAGCGATCCTCCCCAGAGATTTTCTTAAGGAACTCTGAGCCAGGGTTGAGTGGGTGAGCACAATCATGGCTTTGCATTTTCCAGAGACCTTCACCAGGCGTCTCACAGCAGCCAGGAAGTGGAGGCAGATGAAATGAGAGTTTGAAACCCCTGGAGGCCTTCACTTCTGCCTCTTCAATTAATTGGATACCATACTTTCAGAGGACTGGAGTCTTGGGCCACTGGCTAAGGTTAATAGAACCTGCAGTGGGAAGCCTGCCTCCTCATGCAAAGATGACGTTATAGATAATGGTAGGGTGGGTAACAGTGTGGGGATTGGAGCCCTAACAAGGTCCCAGAATAATCATCAAACCAGAGGAGACATGTGCTGAGTAGGGAGAGGTAAAGACGTGCTTGCTAACAGCTGAGCATCCTGGCCTGCAGTCAGAGGCTGGCTCCCCAACTGGAAGAAGAAAGAATGGGTCCTGTGGGCACTGCCCAAACACCCATCTACAAAGTCAGCGCCTGGTGTTAAGGCATCAAGAGATAGGGAATGAGCTTCGCATTTGCCAGAAGTCCTCTAAGTAAAAGGACTGAGTAGAGGACCCAAACTTCTGATAATAAGTTTGGGGTGAGAGTAGGAAGCCCTCCAAGGGACAGAGTGGAATTATAGTAGATAATTGCCAAATGCCATGTAAGAGACTCTCAATCCATTTAACGGTAAGGGCTTTCCTTTTATGACAGAGGGGTACAAGTTGGGGTCAAGAGGGAGGAGGGGCTGCTCACTGGCCCCAGCTGTCCCTGCCCTGTCCTTATCCCATGTATCATCATTCTCTCATGGGTTAGACGGTCTCCCAATTACTTGCCCATCCAGAGTTTCCACATGTCTCTCTTCAGCCCCAAAGATGGGACAGTCAGAATCTTATAACATTGTTAGTTAAAGCTTTGTGCCCTGTGCCCTAAGTGTCAGTGCCCTGAAAGAAATCCCTGGACGCTCCTTTGCTGCCTCTGTTGGGAATCGGTCTGCCTGAGCAGTACATCCACCCCGCAGAGGCACCCGTGGGGACCAGTGACAGCCGAAGGACTGCCAGCAGCCTGAGTGGGGTCCACGCTTGATGCATCCCTAAAGCACCGTCTTAACTTCATCATGTGACAATTCTTTGTTAAATGTGTAGATGGTTGGATAGATGGATGAATAATCTGATAGGTGAATGACTAGGTGAATAAATGAGTGAATAAGTTTGCATGATAGCTATCTGGGGTAGGAAATGAAACTGTTACCTGCGGAACATTTATTTCTCTATATAAAAACACAAAAGATGCAATTTTGACTGGAACCCTCAGCCTGAGTCATATGCTAACTAGCAGAGCTACTCTGTCCAGAAAGACACCTCGTGGCACTGATTAAGTCCGACTTGCTGGGGCCATTGCCATGGTAATTATGGCAGCACCACCACAATACCTCCTGACAGCAGGCCTCTTAGAAGGAAGGTAGCCAGAGATTTTTCACTGACCTGTTCTCTGTTTTCTTTTCAGATTATCAAGGAGGTCCCTCCACCCCCTGCTGAGGAGAGTGAGGTAAGTGACCACAGCAGGATGGCGGCAGGTGGGCGGGGTGGCAGAGTGGGGTGGAGAGCTGGCTGGGCAGCTGGACACTTAGCCCCCTACGGAGCAGAGCTAAGTCAGGCCCAAAGAATTTAATATACCTGCCTGTGAAGCAGAAGGGAAGAAAGTCTCTGACCTTTCCTAACCAGGGATGAACAAGAAACTGAACTAAACTGCCAGAAAAGACAATGGATTTTGGAGGTTTTCCTCCCTGCAGAGATAAAATTTGAGACGTAAACAAATGTTTTTATCAATACAGTTATTTGGAGCTTTGAGATACTGACTTTTCCTCTCAAACAAACCCTAAGATTCTCTTCTCCCTGCAGAGACTTAATGCTTTATGTGTGTAGATCAGGCGCAATTTGCTGCATTCTCCAATCATTGGCTCTAGGAATAGCCTGATGCCAAATACTTCATTTTTCTTTAATTTAAAAACAATATTATCTAAAGATTTGCCAGGCAGTAATGAAAATATGCTGGAGAGGGATATGTTAATATCCTGGCCTTCCTCTCAAATCCTCATCATCTAAAGAAAAAAATTCTTGGACTCTACCACTGAATTGGCCAGTAAGCAGTTCTGATGCAAGGGTGGCCTGGGGTAGATTACAGTGGAGGCATTAAAGGCTAATCATGAGAAATGCAAGAGTGTCTATCAAGTGGCTTAGCTAATCTGATCACTCTCAGTACAGCTGGAGTCTCTAGAGGTAACACCCACCAATTCAGAAGCCAGGGTTACATATCTAAACACTCAATGAGACCAAAAGATATGTTGATAAGCTTTCAAGTTATTGTCCTCAATCCCTAAGGTCTGTTGTGTGCAAATCAAGTGCCAGTTCCTCACCCTTCCCCTTCCAATGCCTCTGTCAAGTTTCCTACATACAGAAAGAGTAATGATTAAATTAAAACTTCCATGTGGCTCTTATATCCTGAACCATATGCATGTAAGCCAAGGGATTTAATAGCTGCAATCAATTAAAGCACATCTTGTTGGAATGCTAACTTTCTGCCCAGAAATCAAGGGAGGAAATTACATTGCTGTGCAAAGAAGGAGAGAAAACCTTCTTTACATACATAAAAACCTTTCCTTAATCCTTCAAGAGAAAGTACCGTGGCTAGTTCCACGACTGCAGTTGGCTTTGTTTCTGTTGTGTGCAGCTATCTCTTAGACTTCCAGAACATCAAAAATAAAATAGAGCAAGGAGCTCCCTTATGAGGACCGCTTTGTTTGCCCGGAGACAGAGAACATTCCTTCCCTTGTTGTGTTCAGTTAGAGGGGTTGTGGCTCTTTCTTTCGGCTCCTGCTCTGCGTTTGCCTTTAGAAGGTGACATGGCAGCCATAGTGGTCAAAGTACACCTGGGGATGTAGGTGTAAGACTGGGCTCTGACTTACCCCAGATCCAACATCTAGCCTAGGGTTTCACATGCAGTACAACCTCAGCAGGGACTTTCAGGATGAAGGACCCAGCAACACAATTTTGGAGCCAAGTGAAAAAGCCCAAACTAGAAAACCATCTAGGAAGAATAGCTAAAAGCAAGGAAGAGAAGTAGTTGAGTTTTTTCAGTTTCATAAAAGTTGTAGAGAGCTGACTTTATTTCCCAAACAGAATGACAACCTCAGAATGCTTGAATCTAAAGGGTTGTGTTAGGCTTAAAAGAGTTTTTGGGCTGAAGCTTCCTCACTTGTTCCCTGTCACTCTATCAAAGGGATCACTCACGTGAACACCTGCAGTTCATTATACTTGGCCAGACCTGGGCTGGACAGATGACTAGTACATTTCATTTGCTGATGCAAAACAAAACATCCCCTTCCTGGAGCCTAGAGCCCCTCCCCTCCTTCATTTCCCTTTGAAACCCTCTGACTTAATCATTCAATATGATGTCAGAAATAAATCAAGAAACTACCCAAACTGGAGACCTAGGCAATAAAAATTTAAACATTGTACTTTTTAGCATCAGGCACTTTTTAGCACGTGTGTTGGCCCTGTGAGTTAGTCTGCCTAATCTCCCTCCTGATGTATTTTGGCAGAAAAATAAAATAAAAGAACAAGAAGAAGAAAGAAAGAAATCCCACAGACACAGATAACCTAACATAGCCCGTGCAAAGTATTTTATACAATGCTCTGAAAATCATAGTCTCAATCTAGACAGTCTTTTCCTCTAGTTCCCTGTATTCAAATTCCAGTGTTTAACACTCAATAGATAGCTATATGACATCAAACACTCTCTGCCATATATATGAAGACCTTCAGTATTATTTATCCAAACTTTCATCAGTTCTTTAAGTATCATATTCTGAGCATGTCTACTATTTAAATAACTAAACTTAGAGAATGAAGATAACTTTATAATAAGCTCTCAGTGACCTTTTTAATAGAAAATACAAAAATTCATATTAGAAAAAGGAACTACTTTCTGAGATTCTGTGTAACCAACAGTGACATACTTATATAAAGAGGGTACAAAGAGAAATTACTTGAAACTTGAAGAGCTCAGTAAAAGCAAGGAAGGTCCATTTTAACAACTAAGAGGGACATTTCCGGGGTTAAGGGTCTTCTCAAGTGGCACCAGTGAGGATCCCTCCCTAAGTCTCCAGTTATTCCAAATAACTGGCAGTTCATGGGAGAATGCAGTAATGGAGCACTTCATGTGGTGGTTTTGTTCTGCATGTAATCACCTTCCATGGATTTTATGACTATATTTGAGTTTTTATCTGCCTCATTAGCCTGCAAAAAACAGAGACCAGTTCAAGCTAGTCCAAGATGAAAGAACTCAGGTAGACTGTGGCTGGGGAAAGAACTGAGGCAGCTCCAGACACCACCCTCATGGGCTTTTGATTTCACTGCTAGCAGCTCTGCTTCTCTCTGGGAATTTACTCCCTTCTGCTTCTCTTACTGGCCTCCTCTCTGCCCTTGTAACTCTGGTTTGTAGAGAGCCCTCTCCCCTGACTCTATCTGATATTTTCTGTCTTCATTTCACCATCTGCCCCCAGTGCTTATAGCCTGAGTCTCTCGGTTTCCATCTTCTGGTTCCCAACAGGGGAAAATACTTGGTCCAGCTCATCTTTTCACTCCAGACCATAGATCATCAGTCACAGCTCATAGCCAACCGACAGACTGGCGCTCTTGGGTCACATCTGGCCAAAGAGAAGCTTCCTAGTAGGCCCCGTGGCCCTGGTGAGAATAGCTCCCCTCAGAAGGAGGAGTGGACCTGGTGCAGGCCCTGTGGCCTCTCTGAAATAGTATTGTTTCAGAAACGAAACTTCAGTCTCATTAAATACCATCAAAATAAAAGCTACACCCAGGAATCTATGCCATATTCTCCCAACATCTGCCGCTTATACAGGCTCCCAAAGATCCTATTGTTCCCAACTTCATGCATATTTGAAAGGCAACAGAGAGCAGGAAGCCCCATGACTGAATGTAAAGTGGGTTATGGCTTAGCCCCAAGCAGTTCCATGTCTCAGACACACACAGACCTACACATGAAGTAAATGTGCTGGAAAGAGAAGATGCTTCCTTTCCCATGTGCTTTCTTACTCTATCAGAGGCATAGCTCCAGAAACACCTGTCATTTTCTTCCTTAATCACACTGCCTTGGCCAGACCTGGGCTGGACAGATGACTAGTACATTTTATTTGCGATGAAAAACAAAACATTCCTTTCTTGGAGCCTAGAGCACCTCCCCTCCTTCATTTCCCTTGGAAACCCTCTGGCTTAATCAACTAAATATTGTGTCAGAAATAAATCAAGAAACTACCCAAACTGGAGACGTAGGCAATAATAGATAAAACATTGTACTTTTTAGCATCAAGCAAATCAAGGTCTTAGAATCTGACTGGAGGGACATTAGAGAAGTCAAATAGGATAGAGGTAAAAGGTATGTAAGTAATCCTAATGCTTTTTGATATTTAAAAATCTTATTTATTCAACAACTCTAGAATGAGTACCTCCTGTGGGCTAACAGCACGTGTGAGATTCTCTGCCAGAGTTGCCTTAGGAGAGTGTGTAACTGGGCCAGGCATAGTGGCTTAGCACTTTGGGAGGCCGAGGTGGGCAGATAACTTGAGACCAGCCTGGCCAACATGGAAAACCCTGTCTCTACTAAAATTACAAAAAATTAGCTGGGCATGGTGGCACATGCCTGTAATCCCAGCTGATCAGGAGGCTGAGGCAGAAGAATTGCTTGAACCTGGGAGGCGGAAGTTGCAGTGAGCCAAGATCACACCACTGCACTCCAGCCTGGGCAACAGAGCAAGACTCTATCTCCAAAAAAAAAAAAAGAGAGAGAGAGAGTGTGTAACTGGACGTTTATAAAGTTGGTGGTGTAATCGGTCCTAATCAGGAAGAAAGGCAGAGATTCCTGGTGGATATTGCACGTGAATGTATAAAAACTAATAGTAATAGTGGTTAATTACTAAAGATGACATTTATTGAGCATTTATGACTATCCAGGCAGTGATGTGAAGCACTTTTTGTGGTATATTTCATTTCATCATTCAGCAGCCCTGAAACAAAAGTGTGCTATTATGAACTCCTGTCTTATAGATGCAAAACTGAGGTATAATGAGATTAAAATACCAGTTGCCCCAAGATTTCAGTTATTAAGTGATGAGACTGGGATTCAACTTGTACCTGAAAAAGAAGCATAGAGCAGTCTTTCCTCACCCGTCCCTGAAGACGATGTAGCTCCTGCAACCAAGAGCAAGGCCTCCGCTCCTTGTTGGGAGCATCAGGTGCCCCTTTCTTGAGTGGCAGTGCCACCCCTCTCTGACCCTGTCACTCAGACAGGGCACACAGCCCCTTTTAAGACTGGTGTAAAGATGGCTACTTATTTTCTGTGCTCTGTCTGTGGCCCTAGTGTGTAGCTATTCTCTTTAGCTCTCATCCCCGTGTTTCCCGCCTGTCTTCTCTTTCATGCTCCCACATCACCATGTCTCATCATGAAACTTTAGAATGCATCTGGGAGCTTGGTAT